GGTGGACCACCTCGATGCCCCGACCACCGGGCTTAGCAAGTTTTCTGGGGGAAACCCTGGACCTATTCCAGTTTTTCCATACAGAAAAACTGTACATATCTAACAAAATTATTAAAAAGGATCAATAATCTTGCTACGTAGCTTAACTCAGTTCAGCATTAGGTTATTATGTCAAGATGTGAGTCAGAAACTTCACATCTTCACTTTGCAGTATTTGTCCCTTCTCAGCCATGGAAAACTTCTCTACATCTATCTAAGAACAGCCCAGTTTCAGGAAATTTCTGGACTCCGGGTCATTTCTTCTAGTGAAGTTTTCTTTTGTTGATTTGAATTTGCACTTGGAGTGACTGACGCTCTAATTATACAACCCCTCTTCATTCCTGCTTACTGGCAGAAACTTTTAGATAATAAAGGTTGTGTACCGTATTTTTCCGACTATAAGCCGCTACGTTTTCCTCACGCTTTTAACCAAACCTTGGGATGGGTTTATAATCCTACTTCTCATTTGATTCATAATCACAAAAATTTATTTTTAATCTGAGGAATAATTCCACACTGGGAACTTTGAGAAAGTTTTTTTTTTTTAAATTCCTGCACCTCTTCAACTTTATTCCCAGCCTCCCTGGCAGCTTTCTGTGTTTTTTTATTTTTTATTATTATTTGTAGACATTCATCCAGTTTTCTGATGTCACTGTTATCACACATTCTCTCAAATCTTTTTTATACTTCATCAAACCCTAACTTGGCTAATTATGCAAATAAGCTGAGCTTTATTTAAACTCAATAAGATTCACTGCACTTTATTGACATCAAGAAGAATAAATTGAGAATTTGAAATAAAAAGGTGATTCATCCAAGTATTTGGTTGGTCACACTTATTCAGGCAGTTCATTGCAGCTTCTGTTTTCTTTAAAGGGGTGTACATACTTGTTTAAGCTAGGACGTTTGGATAAAACCAAGGTAGTGTGTACATTATCCTTTCACCAAATCACAAGTTTATAATTAACATTTCTAAACTACAGTTGAAACAAAATAACTTCTGCAAACTTTCCTGAATAAGAAAACTGATATGTTTGGTTTGAGACAATGCAACATTTAATTGTGATTAATCACAGCACTAGTGTGACTAATCTGATTAGATTTTTAATCAATTTACAGCCCTGACTCTGATGTGACTCTGTAGGGACGAGGCTGTGAAATACATGCGTATTTGCATTTTTCCACAGTATATCGCCAAGATTGAGACCATTTTTGATGACAAACGAGGCAGAAAAAGAGTGAAGAACCAAGGGCCCTTTGCACGAGGTAAGAGCCGAAACAGAACCTCTCATCAGGGAGATTAAAGTGAGCTTCTTGCTGGAAATACCCAGCTTCTGATAATGTACAAACTTAAGGCCAGCAGGAGAAGGGCCAGGCTAATGATTATCAAACAAAGACTTACTGTCTTCATGTGATTATGACTTGTCGAGGCTTTTCATTCCCATCCTGCTGACTAATGTTTGCTCCTCTTGGCAGCAGAGGAGGCCAGCGGGACGGAGAGCGATCCAGAAGACAACACTGAAGGTATCAGCAGTAAAATAAAAGGTTTCTGTTTGGAGTTCACAACTCTTATGTCTGAAAGAATTACTCACTGAAGTGTGAACGGAATGAAGAACGTGGACAGTTCTCTTTCCGTAAACGAGCCTTGGTGAAATGCATTCCTTTGCATTAGCACATGATCGCTCCATGTGTTCAGCAGGAAGGTCTGTTTACATCCAGTCCACACTGAGGCGACGGCCCGGGTATCGCACCCTGGAGAGGGACCTGATCCAGCTACAGCAGCAGAAGCAGCAGCTCTTCCAGATCTTCGTGGTCGTGTCGCTACGGAAAAACACCACAGGAAACACGTACTCCCCTGAAATTACTCAGCAGTTTCCAAAAATGGTTAGAGGGAGCCTTTACCGTAACATTACCCTGCTCTTCTGACAACCTAAATGTGCTTTAATTGCCTTAAGTGAATGGAATCTGTTGTTTGCATCTTAAGATGATTTTGTTTTATGATTGGAAGGGGAATTTCCCACACTGGCATGAGTCAGTAAATGTTACGAGCTTTGTCTACTCATTTACTTCACTCTAATATCAGCATCTTTTCATCCCAGTCAGTATAATCAGTTTTAACTTTCAGCTATTTTTATATTTTGATTGATTTATTTATTCAGTCAGTCATCAAATAAAAACCTCTGAACATTACAACAATGTGAACAGCTGGACTGAAATGTGCAGGCAGAAGCACCAGGCTGATGCTTGTCCTTCCTGCACATCAAATCATTACAATATATGAAAAAAACTAAACGTTATTTACTCTTGTAACCCTGAAATATTTTTTTAAACATTTCCTTTGAAAACCCATAATGAACTAGAAGCTCATCAGTCGATGCTGCATCTTTCCATAATTTAATTCCAACAGCAGAAAAATACCTCTTTATTAGATTTTTAGCTTGTTATTTGGTGAAGTTAAAAATGTGTCCAAATCATATTTGGATTCACATAATGTGAAGAATCTTTGCACAGGCAATAAACTTAATTTACCTCTGAACTTTAATTGTGTTATTTTAATTAACCAAATCATAAAATTTAATGATTTAACAGTGGACTTGTTGATGGTAACCAGCCATATGTATGGCTATTGGTATAATGATAAATCATTTCAAACAGTTAAAATTATTTTGAAAACAATCATTTCTATTGATTGTTTCTTCAGTGAAAGCTGTGGCTCCTCTGACCTGCAGCCGTTTCATTTCAGTTTGAAAAGTCGTCCCGTCTCTCCAGAGAAGCTGAGGATCAACTCAACATGATTCCCAAGTTCTGCTTCCCGGATCCACAGGACTGGAAGCCATCTGCACACACACCCAGGTCAGCTGCTGCACCGCAGCGACACTCAGTCAAACACAAATCCTAAAACAACAGGGGCGCAATGGTAATAAAAACACTTTAGTGATTTCTTTTAGCATCTCAAAGCTAATGCCTTCATTTGTTATTATATAATGTGGTTTAAATACCTTCTGTTGTTTCTGTTCCATGTTAACGTGCATTATTAGATCCCCTCTTTTCTGTTTATATCTTTGGCTGTCAGCTTTAATCCCTAAATTCGTCTCAGCTTTCATGGCTTAAAACCAGGGTGTCCAAACTTTTTGTAATAGGACTTTTAACTTCACAGATATAAAGTTAAAAGTAGCTGTGGGCTATAAAAATATTTTTTTATCTCTTCTTATAAAAAAATGCAAAAATAATAAAAACAAATTAAATGCACAATATTTTGATGAAACATCCTAGCACGAATAAGTTATGTCATTTTAGAGGTCGATCTGTCGATTAACTGATTAATTGCATAAAAAAATTGGCACATGCGGCAAATTATTTTTATTTAACCACTTAAGCCTTTTTTAATGGGATATTAGAAATACATTAAAAGATTCTAATACCGTATTTTCCGCACTATAGAGCGCACCTAAAAACCTTCAATTTCCTCAAAAGCCGACAGCGCGCTTTATATATGGACCAATATTGAGCCACAACAGGTCTAGCAACTACGGTAAGCAGGGCCAGACTTCATTTTCACCCGTAGAAGAAGAAGTGTGCGATGCATGCTGGGATAGTTGTCAGAACGCTGGTTTGTAATCT